CAATTATAAGAAGGGCACTTAATTTCCTCTTTTGAGTTCCCTCAATAACAGATTTTGACTGGTAATTCATTTAGCATACATTGAAACCTGAATGTCTACTGATTATGTTCCAAAACACTGAACTTGCTGTAATAAAGACAGAGAAAAGATGTCATCTTTTGAGGAGAACCTGGAAAATTATTATTTCTGGTGGAAAGCTTGTTTTGTCTCATAGACTTATGCTTCAGAGTCATTTGTGAATGAGTAATGAACTCAGGAAAGATCAATGAAGTATTCTCTGAACCCTCTCAACCTATTTTGCTGAGAACAAAATAAGAGGAAAGTTACGAGAGGAGATGATGATTTAGGAAGAGAAATATATGGTCGCTGTAATGTACAACTCTTGAAAGAAGGAAATTGTCGGGCTCTGGGCTGATGGCTCAGAGCCTGGAGCCTGTTTCCGATTCTGTGTCTCCCTCTCTCTCTGCCCCTCCCCCGTTCACGCTCTGTCTCTCTCTGTCCCAAAAATAAATAAACGTTGAAAAAAAAATTTTTTTTTAAAAAAAAGAAAGAAGGAAATTGGGCAATTCATCTAGTTTACTATGAGTAGTTTTTCAGGCTTCAATCATGAGTCACCTAAGTAATTTTTTTTCTCTGCTCTTTAATTGCAATGTTTATTTATTTTATTATTTTCCAAGAGTGAAGTAAAACAGTATGCAAAAGCCAAACTACTTTTAAGAGAGGAGGCAGTAAAAAAAAATTTCTTGTGGTCTTTGCCTTGGTATATGACATACAATTTCAATCTAATGCCATAAAGCTATGATTTTCTCAAGGAATTATTTAAAATGTTTAAAATACTCTCATCTCTTTTCTTGATGGATGATGAGTCATCCTCTGTAAAGTTTTTAATGATGTAGAATAAACTGCAAATTAAATAGCATAATCAAAACCAGGCATTGAAAATAATGGGGCAGGCAATCAATGATGCTAAATACCGCAGTGTTAAGTGGGTGGTAACATGCATTGTGTGGACAGATTGGAGAGTGACGGTCACAGAAAGACACTGCTTAGTGACTTGGGATGACTGATGTCTAAGCCTTCATATGTCTGTGACATATGTCTAAACCTTTTGGCTCCACCATCACATCCATCTGGTAAAGGAAAGAAACCCCTGCTCCAAGCCGCCAATTCAGCTTCTGTTAGAGATCTCAGTCAACATCAGTCCTATGGACTTGCTCTCAATAGGTGCCAACCACCTGGGATGCATCACTCCAGTGATGGTTGAACAGCTGAGTTTCTCAGTTTTTGTGTTGCTTTTGCTTTTGCTCTCTAAATAACTTTCTTATAGGCTTCACATCAAAAAGCACTGTATTTCCCTACCACAAAAGTCAGTAGGAAGTATTTGGAGGCAGGAGAAAAAAGAATCAATACACTTTTTTAAACATTGACTGCCATGGCTAGGGGAAACTTCAGATGCCATGTTAGAGATTTCTGTTGAACTTTTGGTCACATCCCTTATGGTTTTTGTTATTCCAGGAAGAGTCAGTCTCCAGTGCCTCCTGCTGAGATGATGTTAAGAGACTGTACTAATAATGCATGCCATCTTTCCTTTGGGGAGTTCCAAATTCTTTTTGTGTATTTAGCCAGAGTCAAGAGTCGAGAGTTAAGTTCTTTTCAAGTACAGCTGCCAAAGGTGAAAGCCATCTTGATGAGTGATAAGAGAACCCTTTAGGAGACAAACGTGGGAACAGTGATGGCTGCCCATCACCTGCTGGGTGCTTTTTGTGGGCATGCTCCTGGGCTGGCCCTCTGGGAGAGCACCAAGAAAGGAGCATGAGAGAAGGAAATACCTGTCCTCTGAGGTATCAGAGGGGGCTTCTGGGCTCCAAGTCTTCCTCAGGCTTCTCACCTCTTTCCCCATGCCTCTTTCTACTCCCTCAGTTGTCCTCGCCAAGACAAGCTGTGCAGATATTCTTCTTTTCTCTCTTGACTGATTATGTGACACTGGAATGCCAGGACATTTGGGCCCTAATTTGCTGGAATCCAGGGGAGAAGGGGGAGGCAATAACCCCTTAGACTGTCCTCAGTAGCCTGGACAGTGACTGACTGGCTCCCTCATCATTCCCTTCAGAGAAGGAGAGGGCAGTTTGGAAACAGACATAGGTTGAGGGCCAGACTCAAGGTTGCCATATAAATGAATAGCAAAACCTCTCCCAGAATGTAAGACTTTCAATTCCCAGTTTCACAGACCTTAAGTTTTTTTTTTTTTTTCTTAAATCAATGTGGTTATGTCATTTGTGGGAATTATCTAAGTTCCTCTTACTCATTTATTTTCAGTTCCTTTTGCCAGGCCCAGAGGCTAATGTTCCCTGTGTCACTTATTTCAAATCTGACTTTCATTCCTACTTTGCTACAGTGTTTCTCTGTAGAGATACCCTTGTCATTTTAAGGGGACATTTCCTCACCGTATAAGTGAACTTCCTGATCTTTAAAAGGTTTTAGCATCCCCGACCCCAGGCACTAAATGCCTGTAGTAATCCCCCTCATGAATATAATACAAAGAAACTCCCCTGCTCAATTCCAGACACTTCTGGGGTTGGGAATAAGGGGTGTCCTGGTTGAGAACCACTGCTAGAGGCTTGGATAGGCCTTTGCTCTACCTCCTACTCCAGTATGACCAACACATCTTCTCCCTGCCCACATCCCTCCTTGTCTTTAAAGTTCTGCTCAAGGGCACCTGGGTGGCTCAGTCAGTTAAGCATCTGACTCTTGATTTTGGCTCAGCCGTGATCTCACAGTTCATGGGATCGAGCCCCACTTCAGACTTCCATGCTGACAGAGCGAGCCCGCTTGGATTCTCTATCTCCCTCTTTCTCTGTCCCTCCCCTGCTTGCTCTCTCTTGCTCTCTCTCTCTCTCCCTCTTTCTCTTTCTCTCTCTCTCTCTCTCAAAATAAATAAACTAAAAAAAATAAAGTTTGGAGCACCTGGGTGGTTCAGTCGGTTGAGCGTCTGACTTCGGCTCAGGTCATGATCTCACAGTTTGTGAGTTCAAGCCCCGCATCAGGCTCTGTGCTGACAACTCAGAGCCTAGAGCCTGCTTTGTATTCATTCTCTCTCTCTCTCTCTGTCTCTCTCTCTGTCTCTCTCTCTCTGCCCCTCCCCCACTAGTGCTCTGTCTGTCAAAAATAAATAAATGTAAAACAATTTTTTTAATAAATAAATAAAGTTCTGCTTAAATATCAGTGAAAAGGATTCCCTGATTGAGTCATTCATTTAACATCTACTCAGCAGATATTTACTGAGCACTTGCTAACAGCTCCAGGCACTGTTTGAGGAGCTGCTGATCCACCAGCCATTAGCTGTCCCTCAGATGGGCACCTTCCTGATGCTGTCCTACCTTAACCTTTTCATTTGCATTTTATTTCCTAAGTGTCCTCAAGTCATCCCTGGACCCCCGAGTGACTTCCTACCTAGGGATTGAGCTTCCCTAAGACGATGACTACTTATTCTGCTTTTGTTTTTGTCCCTCCTGGAGGCCAGTATAATAGTTTCTACACAGTAGGAATTCAGTAAGTGTTGGACTGACTGATCCAGGGACATGCAGCTACTACCAAGGGTGTATTTCATTTCTGTAATAGGGATGATGATACAAATGTGTCAGATTTTTTTTCTAGTCTGAAGATTCTATTTAGTCTGTTGTCTAAATGGAAAGAGGAATAACATGGGAAACGTTTTGGTGTCCCTGGTAATTAATAAACTTGACATATGTAGCATACATGGTGAAAATGAACTGTATGTACTCTTTATTTTCTAGTACACCCTGAGTGAGCCTTGGTCTAAGAGGCCATGCTTTGATCCCCTCCCAATTATAACTTCTGAGACAGAGAACAGAGTATGAACTTGGCCTTCTGAAGCCTCAGAGTATTAAGTGATAGAAAGCCAATGTACAAAAATTTAGAATAGCCAGATGAAAAGAAAGTGATTACAAACATGAGAGAATCTGATGGAGAAATGGCAGCCTTTTTCTCTTAGTTTTTGTATTATGGAAAGTTTCAAAAACATACAAAGATGTACAGAATAATATACTAATCCCCCAGTGTGCTCATCACCTAGCTTCCACAGTTACCAACCCAAGGCCATCATGTCTCATTTATAAATGCCCATCCATTCTCCCTTCCTTCCAACTGTACTGTTTTAAAACAAATCCCAACAATATATAATTGTATCCATATTTCAAAATGGATCTCTAAAAGACACTTTTAAAAATCACCACAATATCATTACTATGCCTAAAACAAATCAGTAATCTCCTAATACTCTGACTCTTCCAACCAGTGTTCCAATTTCCAATTGTACTGACTTTTTCAATAAATCTAAAAACTGAGTAAAAAATTATACTTTCGGGGCACCTGGGTGGCACAGTTGGTTAAGTGTTCCAAACTCAGCTCAGGTGTTGATCTCACAGTTCGTGGGTTTGAGCCCCACGTTGGGCTGTCTGCTGTCAGTGCAGAGCCCGCCTTGGATCCTGTCCTTCTTTCTCTCTGCACCTCTCCCACTCATGTGCGCGAGTGTGCTCTCTCTCGCTCTCTCTCTTTCTCTCTCTCTCTCTCTCAAAAATAAATTAAAAAATTATTTTAACTACACTTTCATTGAGGAAGAAGCTACAGGAAACAAAACATTTTTTTCTTACAGGAAAGTAGAATAAAGCAATGGTAAAGGTGATTTCAGAGTGTAAAAATGAAATAGGTCTGAGCCTCTCCGGGTCTCTAGAGACTAGTCTAACCTCACCTAGAACTCCGTGCCTCCCCGTTCGCGCCCTCTGGTGGCAGGTGTGCGCTGTGGGTTTCAGTTAACTGAGTAGCGTCCATTTCATAACATGATGGGTCTCTACTATGTTGCTAGTAGTTTAATAGTTGGCCACATGGCAAAAACGTGTGTGACACAGGTTTTTTAAAAGTGTTGATTGAGTACATAATTTAAAGTCAGAATATTAAATAAACATCTCTGCCCTTCCTTCCAGCAGGCAGCCCAGAGAACTGCTCTCCACGCTCTGTCTGACAGGTACATTTTGTCATTTTTATGAACTATAAATTGCTTTATGAAACATTGAGCCCTATTTATTGTGGCATATAATTCATAATCGGATTTTGTCCCTAAAGTGTCTGTGAACTGGGATGTTAAACATTTTGCATGCTTGGATTTGTCATGCATGTGTGGAGTTTATTACTGCAAAAATCGCCTTGTTGTATTTCATAGAAAGTATGAAGAATCCCTTGTTGTGCAATGAAACAGGAGACAAGAAACTTAGAGGGAAAGACCTGAATGGTGCAGTAAATTCTGAACTTTGGAATTGGTTGCAATCTAAGCTCATTTTCAGCAATAAGTACTTCATTCGTTTTGAGATGTTTTCTTCAGACTTTTTCCATATCATTTCACAAGAGCTGTCTGTCTTTTGATGAAATCCTCTCATGAAATATTTTGTGCACATAACCCAGTTCATGGTCCTGAGAGCCTGACTTTTCCCTCCTCACTTTGGCTTGTGTTTTTGGACTTGTGTTATTGCGTGAGATACATAAATCTAATCAGTAAACACACTTAAGCTGTATTTCACATCGTGCTCTGCCAGAAAGGCTTTATACAGATAGCTGAACAGGGATATATAAAGTTACTTTCAGGGATGGACCATGCCCTTTTTGTTTTGATTGGTTTTTAAGCTTTCATTTACTGAGGTTGCGGTGTGTGTGTGTGTGTGTGTGTCTCTTAAAGAACTGTCAGGAGGCGAAGATGAAGCCCCAGTTTCTCTCCACAAGTCAGGCTCTTAACAGTGTTAGAGCCAGCTGCAGGAGATGTTACCCTGGCTGGCTGGTGGGCACCTTAGCATTAGCTAGCTAACAGTCACCACCTTCCCCTTCCTTCTCAGTTCTTTTTTTTCTTTCTTTCTTTTTCTTTTTCTTTTTTTTTTCTTTGTGTGTGTGTGTGGAATGAATAATAATTGACTGTGTCAACTAGCTCAGTTCACTGCTTCTCCAAGGTAAAACCTGTCACTGAGGCAAATTATCTGTGCACATGGGTGAAAAGCATTTCCTCTATGGTGGCAGGCTGAGCGTGAGTATTTTTATTTCATTTGAAAAGCCTTCCCCATGACAACCACACAAGCCTGTGTGCTGTAAGAGTGGCTGCCACAGGATTGTCTACAATTGCTCTTGGGATTTTCACAAAAGCTGATAAACTGTACTGCTTCGTAGTCTATTGGTACGAGACTCTGGATCAAAACATTTAAAATCTGACACATTAATTCCTTTCCTCTACATACTTCTTTTTTTCCCCTTTGACTTATTAAGTAAGAGCTTCCTTCAACAAAATGCACTGATAAGCAAGCAAAAGCCCTCAGATTACAAGATAATGTTATTGCCATGGTTAGATTTTTTGGGGGGTGTACTGACAATGTTATAAAATTAGATTATGGTGATGGTTTCACAACCCTGTAACTATACTGAAAACCATCAAACTGTGTTTTTTTAAATGCATGCACATTATGGTATATAAACTGTATTTCAATAAAGCTACATATATAGGCACAAAACATCACTATGAACTTTGGTAGAATGAATCAAAACCTATTTTAGGAATATAATTGAATTCCTTTGAAGACATGGCTGCAAATACAAAGACAAGTCATCAGAAACTAGAATTGATACATTCTAAGACTGCTTCCCAAAAGATACGTGACTCTGTCTTGGATAGAAAATGTACATGGATTTTAATGATAGCAACACTATTCCCCCTTGACTTTCTTCTGATATTCTAAAACCCCTCATCAAACCCAATAGTTAGTCAACCGGTAAGTTAGCATCTTAGCCTCTGTTGATTCTGTAACCGGTAAGATCAGAATAGTGTGAGGAAAAAAAAAAAAAAAAGCCCATTCCCTGGAAACAGAAACAGGTTCCCATTATAATTTCTCTTCTTTTGAATTTTCCATCTTTAAATATAATAGAGCATTACCCCCTTAAATCTAACGTTTTTTTCTGTTCAAACTTGGGGGAATTCGGCTCATTTTAAAGTAATGAGTTGACTTTGCCATTCTAACAATGCAGTCGTGTAAAGCTACCTTCTCTGTGCTTTCTCTATTCTATGTTTTCCACTAATTTGGGGCCACACGAGTAATAGATGTGAAAGGTATGCGTAATCATTTAGAGATACAATTTTAAATCCTTTTTAAAATAAGAACTTAAAATACCTACTGAGTTAATTGGATTTATATTTTCTATTTTCTTAAATTAGGGAATGTTAACTTACCAGGTAATATGTCATTTTCTAGCACATTACTTATTCTGTTGAATAAACCAGTATTTTCTAGAAAATAATGAATATGATTCTGGGACATACTCCTGCGTGTCTTGCCTAATATTCTGTTTGTCAGAGGATCCACCTCAGGGTAGGAATAGAATTGAGTAAAGATTCCCCCCAAGTCATGACCTTCCCAAGATGGAGATCTAACCCCAATATCCCTGACTACTTAGAGCCTGGTATTAATCTATTTACAAAAACTCATCTGTTTTACTAAACAATTTTTTTCCAGCCTGTTGTCACTTCTTGATATAAAATTCCATAGCGATGGGGTACCTGGGTGGCTCAGTTAAGCATCTGACTCTTTTTTTTTTAATGTTTTGTTTTATTTTTTGAGAGACAGAGCATGAGCATAGGAGGGGCAGAGAGAGAGAGAGAGAGAGAAAGAATCAGAAGCAGGCTCCAGGCTCTGAGGTATCAGCACAGAGCCCAACGCAGGGCTTGAACCCAGGAACACAAGATCATGACCTGATCCAAAGTTGGACACTGAACTGACTGAGTCACCCAGGTGCCCCAAGCATCCAACTCTTGATTTTGGTTCAGGTCATGATCTCAGGATGATAATATCAAGCCCCATGTTAGGCTCTGCACTAATAGCACAGCAGCTGCTTGGGATTCTCTCTCCCTCTGTCTCTGCCCCTCCCCTGTTCTCTCTCTCTCAAAATAAATAAATAAACTTTAAAAAATAAATAAATAAAACTCCATAACGATGAACAAGCACTTTCATTTTTGTCCTAGAAAATGACAACACTTGTGAGACCCCACAAGGTGCTTCCTGTGTTCTGTAATTCTGCAGTTGGATAAAAAAGCCCATGTTGGCTTGGGCTGTGCCACCACAGACTTCTTGTCTCATGTCCCGATAGTTAGTTCATATTGTGGCCCCTTTCTCTTCCATTTAGCCTTACAACCACCTTGAGTACCTGGCGAACACAGGACGTCTGATCCAGGAGTAGAGCCATTTTGTTTCAAGATATACACTTGATGATGACCTAGGGGTTTACTTGACGTGGGGTCATTGGAGGATGTGAGTGTATAATGAAGGAAGCCAACGGCTGTTCTCTGCTTCCCCAGGAGAAAACCTGCATCCAGGCCTTTTGAGACCTGACCTGATGAGACTAGTTATAAGGGAAAGGGTTGGCATTTCCCTTTCCTTCCTTCTAATGGCAAGCAGAAACTTTGTCCCTGTGGGGTGTCTGAGATGACAGTATCCAGATGTCTTCTGAAGGCCAATCTTGTCTATCTTTTCATTTCTCCAGTTTCCTGGTTTAAATAGGCATTCTAGCAGAAATCCAATATCTGACACTTAAGGCTGTGCTTTCAAGTTCAGTGAGTCCTAAGTAATCAGTACACAACCTCAATAAATTAAAACTATAGTATTTCCATTCTCTAAATTTAAAAATCTTCTGTGGTCACCTCCAGAGAGGTGGCCTTGTTTGGTCTTGCTTGAACAATGGGTTTAATTTATAGTTCATCCCAAATAGCCAGAGCATCAAGACTGGCTCACACTGGCAAGGCAAATTTGGGCCTCAGCCCAGCTAACTTGTGCCACCCTGCAGTGACAGGAAGGGTTGTGTGAGGGTAGAATGGCACGTCTTTTTGTTCTTTCCTACTGCTGACTGTGGAACTTTGCATCCGTTTTATGCCTTTGAAAGTCATCTGGCCTACCAGAGGCTTACCGATTCCCCAAATCGTGAAAAAACCAAGAGACCAAGGCAGGAAGAGGTGGCAAAATCCTCAACAAGGTAAAACAAGCCACTTACAAGAAAACTTCAATCTATAAAGGGACACTCTCCTTCTTACTTATTCACTCCTTATGATGTGCCTCCCAACTGTTTTTTTTCTCCTTATGGATTATTGTACTGGATAGGGTAGAGAGAGGCAGAGGAGAAGCAGGATAAATGGGCACGAGGCTCATTTATAAAGGTGTGTCTTTGGTGTCGACTCGCCGCACTGTGAAAGCTGCCACATCGCCAGTAATGTGGAAAATATGCAAAGTGCTGTTCAGAGAAGGAAGGGTATGTGTGCCGCATATGAAGTGCCTTGGAATATGATTAACTTCCCTTCATAAGTAGTAAATAGTAGATAACTGTGATCAAAAACGGGATTCGTGTGATTTATCAAGCTGAGCAACTGTGCATTTGCAGAGAAGCTGGAGGTCAATCTTGAAATCTAGGGCAAGAGGAGCACTAGGAAATTGCCAGGGCTAAGAAGTTAATCATACCCTTGGACTGCTTCCATCTGTCTCAGAGCGACAGGGCTGCTGCAGAACGAGCAGGGATGCTTTATAGCAGCAGATCAGGAATTAATATTTTCTGTGAAACCTCAAGCATCATTTGCAGTAACTTGGGTTTTATAAAAATGGAGCATAATTTCATATGAATAAATCACATTCAGCTGGAAATAAGAGAAGCTGGGAAAAAAAAACTGTGCTTGACTAAAAAAAAAAAAAAAAAAAAAAAAAGGAATGAGCAGCAAGAAAGCCAACATGAAAACAGTTGTTGAAGCGATGGCACTTGGAGGGCACAAGTGGCCGTGTGGTTAAATTGTGCATATAATCATCTTCTGAAATGTCAGCGTGCGACTCCAGAAATGGCTACATTTTTATAGCCGTGGAGATGCATCACCAGACTGTAACCTGTCTGCCCATCTGGCAATATCTCAGGTCCAAGATCCATTTATATTGAAATCCAAACAACTGCCATTGATTGATTCAC